AATTCGATTTTCACCCATACCAAATATAATTAATATCACTTATTTTATTTTTAGATTTTCCAAATACAATTTATCCATAATAAATAAAATTCATACTATTTAATGCAGAATTTTTATTCAAACAACTTTAAAAATATTAGAAGGAATATTAGTTTCTGTAAATACTAATTTTTTAAAAAAATTAATAGATAGATAAATTAATAGATATAGATAGTATAACATTTAACTAACTAATGTGTATGTAATAATTAAGAACCCAACAAAATACAATTAACACGGAATAACCCAATTTCCTGGAGAAATCCCCAAACTTAAACTACAAACCAAAAACACGTTCTCTCTTTCTAATAGGAACTTCACTTATTGCCATTAGTCTTATATGTAAAAAACATTTTGGAAAAGTAAAATATAATGAATCTTTTCATCTATTTCATAGTAGTAGATCAATCACATATTACCAAGTACAACCGATTCACATGGAAAAGAGCAAATGACATAAATGAATGGACTAAAAATCAAGAAATCAAAGTCGCCGCACATATCATCCATAGTCGTTGGACCCATCCGCATAAGCAACCGCGACCGCAACATCCGACGCCATCTCCCAACCAGTAAGCCTCCGAGCAGCCCAGCTTCCAATCCTAAGCCCAACCCAGCCCCCATGTGCCTTCTTCCGTACACCCCATGCGGTGAGTACCCAAACCCCAGAGGCGGAGCCTGGCCGTACACGTACCAACAAAGTATATCAATTGATAGCTATCCACAGTATTTCGTCTGCATATTGCATACCCAAGAGCCTAATGTGTCGCGATCCATTCCAAGGCTATGGAAATCTACATAACACAAATGAATTGAGGTCATATTCTACTTACATATATATATCACTACATAATAATAATCGAAATGAAATTCACTGTCCAAACAAAAAGAGGTAGAATATAAGTATAAACTCTGTCATTCGGCATTGCATTTCTATATACTGAGGCCCAAAGGTCAAACCTACTCAGGTAATATTCTTTATTGGCAACCCCTTTTACAGCACATAAGGATTCAGAAAAAAAACGGATGCCATTAGATTTGTAATTTTAAAATATACACACTAACCAAGTAAAAGACACGGGAAAATATGGATACTATACAATAAAAAGTTACTGTAGGCAATAGAAAATGATTTTTCTAAATCTCAAACGTGTATTCATCTTCATCGCCTGAAGAAGCTATAGCTTTGTCCACATTCTTCTTCCCTGAGGATTGAACTGAAACCATTAGAAAGAAAAATTCCAATTAACCACGAGTAACCATGGTCCTTTTTCCTAGCTAATCGATTGGTTGAGAAAGCCGTAGGTACTTTATGACGTCTTCTAAAATTATCAAATGTCAAACTCTACTACTAATTCTACGATGTTTGACGCTGAATCATATAGATAGAAGTAGAAGCTTAAGTTGTTGTTATCCTAAAAACCAATAAGCACTTTTACAACCAACACACTTACAAAATAACTACACTTTTTTTTTTTCTTGAACTGCATCGCTTCTATTGCAATACTATTAATTCTCAGCTATTTTGGCTCATATAACATTACAATACTTCCAATACACTCACTAAACATTAGAAGGTTGATATTAAATTAGGTAACAATATCAAAATCCAATAATTTTTCTTCAAGATTGAGCGAAAAATAT